CACACACCCAGAGATGTGGGCAGCCAATGCTGTGGCGCCCGGAGAGCAGTTGGGGGTTCGGTGCCTTGCTCAAGGGTCTCACCTCAGTCGTGGTATTGAGGGTGGAGAGAGCGCTGGATAGTCACTCCCCCCACCTACAATTCCTGGCGGACCTCAGACTCGAACCCGCGAATTTCGGGTTACAATTCTGATATCCATTAGGCCACGACTGCCCACGACTGTCCCGCGATTGTGCAGGTCTCTGCTCGGAAGATGCCTGTTATAATGTTATGATCGAGGCTCTGGACTCTGAGCATAACTTGTTTTTCTATAACAAACTATAAAATATTTTATATAAAAACGTTAATGCCCTGGCAGTGACAAATAGCTTTGGTTTTATATTTAATTTGATTACATTAATGTTATAAGTTGAGATTTACAATAAATATTTTAACTGCTATACACAGTATATATACAGGGCCTAAAATTAACACTCTCCAAGCACCAAATGCAAGTAAAAATCGGCATTGGCGAGTATATGTAACTGTGTCAGTCGGCCACTTGGCGGGTAAAACTTTTACGAAATATAACAAATGCAATGTAGTGAGAACAACAGCCAGTTTTTAAAGAGATTCACTGTTTCTGACGTAAGCAAATAAAATAATCTTTTCCGAAGACAAGATCATCGTGATTAGTTGTTCTGTCAAAAGCGACAAGAGCGAATCAAATAATAGGATACAAATGGGCTGATAAGGTCAGAGCAGTGTGACGGCCCACTTGTCCCTATACACGATTCTAATAACTTTTACCTGAGAAGATATTGCTGCTTCGTTTCGGAAGATTAACTTTTCCCTTCTTTATTCTTCAAAACCCGAGAATGTGGTGACACATACCTGGGGTTACGACATCTAAACGGTGCATTGATGAAGGCTACGTTCGGCAGCACACCAGTAGTGCTTCAACGGACGAAAACACACACAATTACGTCAAAATATGCAGTCTTAAATGAGTTATAAAGTCTTAAATGACCGTAAAGAGTTTGGAGAAAATAGGATACGTGTCAGATCCGTGTCATCAGGTTTTAAAGAGACAGCGCTGCTTTTAAAGTAAAACCTGCTAAAGTCTGTGATTGATGTAAATAGTAAAAGAGACATCACTCGACTGCTCTAGTCGCTGATTAACTTTTGTAGCTTGAATAAAGATTTTCTATAACAAACTATAAAATATTTTATATAAAAACGTTAATGCCCTGGCAGTGACAAATAGCTTTGGTTTTATATTTAATTTGATTACATTAATGTTATAAGTTGAGATTTACAATAAATATTTTAACTGCTATACACAGTATATATACAGGGCCTAAAATTAACACTCTCCAAGCACCAAATGCAAGTAAAAATCGGCATTGGCGAGTATATGTAACTGTGTCAGTCGGCCACTTGGCGGGTAAAACTTTTACGAAATATAACAAATGCAATGGAGGGAGAACAACAGCCAGTTTTTAAAGAGATTCACTGTTTCTGACGTAAGCAAATAAAATAATCTTTTCCGAAGACAAGATCATCGTGATTAGTTGTTCTGTCAAAAGCGACAAGAGCGAATCAAATAATAGGATACAAATGGGCTGATAAGGTCAGAGCAGTGTGACGGCCCACTTGTCCCTATACACGATTCTAATAACTTTTACCTGAGAAGATATTGCTGCTTCGTTTCGGAAGATTAACTTTTCCCTTCTTTATTCTTCAAAACCCGAGAATGTGGTGACACATACCTGGGGTTACGACATCTAAACGGTGCATTGATGAAGGCTACGTTCGGCAGCACACCAGTAGTGCTTCAACGGACGAAAACACACACAATTACGTCAAAATATGCAGTCTTAAATGAGTTATAAAGTCTTAAATGACCGTAAAGAGTTTGGAGAAAATAGGATACGTGTCAGATCCGTGTCATCAGGTTTTAAAGAGACAGCGCTGCTTTTAAAGTAAAACCTGCTAAAGTCTGTGATTGATGTAAATAGTAAAAGAGACATCACTCGACTGCTCTAGTCGCTGATTAACTTTTGTAGCTTGAATAAAGATTTATCTGTATAGTTTACGCATATACAATTTATAGTTTATGTAAAAATTGTTTTAAAATCACTTAATATTTCAGAGGCTATTAAAAATAATGGCTTTCAATTATACTGTAATGTTGAATGGCTATAATTAATAGGTACAATTGAGGGAAAATGCATTTAACTCTTTCCCCGCCAGCATTTTTGAAAAAAGTTGCCAGCCACCGCCAGCGATTTTAATGATTTTCACTAAAATTTTGATATATATATATATATATTTCCACCACTGTGCTGTAAAAGACTGATCTTTTTTATTTATTTATTTAAATGTTTGTTTGTTTGTTTATTTATTTTCATTCATGATGTTGTATTAATAACACCACCACATTTTTTACTTCTTAAATTTGAAAACAAATACGTAAAAAAAAGCAATCAAGAAATGTTACTACAGTAACTATACCATTGTATTGTAAAAAATAAATAAATACAATAAATAAATACAACAGTAAACATATATATATATATATAACTCACAACACCTGCAGGCAAACCGAGTTGCTCCAAGACACTGAATATACTGGATAATAATCTGCTCACTTTTAAAACAACATATATCACTACATTGCAGCCTTTGTGATTTGATAACAGCACTAAACCATATGTGTTGTTAGAATTCATGAAGTTGCCAGCCAATAAAAGCAAATAAAAAATTGTTTCATATATTTGCCAGTGCAGATATTTACTTGCATTTGGAGTTTAATGTTGGACCCTGTGTAAATGAAATGTAGTAACACACAGGTCAACAGGTCTTAGTGCTTTGTTAGTGCTAAGCGTTTTAAGTATGGTGGCACTCTAATGGTTAATGTAAAGTGTCTGTGCTAGAAAAGGTTATATTCCAGGTATGGGAGACTTGGTAACTGAAGTATTATTAAATTCATAAAGCTGCTCAGTCACCATTATGTCCTTGAGCAAAGCACTCGGGCTCCGGGGGGACAGTCCAATTAATGCGTTGCAAATTGTTTTGGTTTAAAAGTGTCTGCTAAATGATATGTAATTTAATATGATGTACTATGTGTCTCAAAATAGCACCTGAAGCTCCTGTCAGGATACCTGTTAGTATGTCCCTTAAAGTGATACAGCAAAGAATTAGCACTTAAAATCTCCGTGTGTTTAAAACAGGCAAACATTACACTCACAATGTGTTCAGAGCTCTAAGCAACATCTAAAAACCTTTCTAGTGTATAGACACGTTCTGCATTTTGTGAACGCGATGAGGGGCTTATAATTGAACTGTCATTGCTAAAGCAAAATTAAAACTCTGATTATTCTGTAGTTACAGTGATAACCTCCTCAAGGGGATATAAACTCAGGAAGTCATCGTGGTAAAAATATTCCATTGCATCTGGAATGAGCCTTATCGAATTTAATTTCTCACTAAGGTATAGTTATGCTAATATGAAAGTTATTTGCCTGGTGACAGTTGGGGCCCGAGTATTTAATAACTGCAAGAATATCGTCACTTCAGCGTACATCTGTTCCTCAATTCCCCAGTTAATCGCCGCTTTAACTGGCTTCATCTGGATACCTTTTTTATTTCTTTTTAAAAATGTGTTAATGTGCACAATTCCTCCGCCATACACCAGTGCACAAAACCAAAGGTGATTCTGTTCATTAGCATGCTAGTATCCTCTTTACACAGTACAGACAAACTGACTAGATGTTGCTTCAGGGTTGTAAAATTTCAGATAACAAACAGATTTTCAAAAAACATCCAAGTGCTTTGAAGATCGAAGGTTAACGGTCATTTTCCATCTCTCTCATTTGACAAAATTTCAGTTTTTTAAATAATAAATGGCAGTGACCACCACCCCTGTCAAGCTTCTAAAAAATATCATAACAGTATATTCATTATATTCAACAGTATACTGTATGACCTGTGCGCTATATGTCTTCTGAAGCCATTCGATATGCTGCAGCTCTCAAATTTCATTCTCCATTCCACATATTGGAAAATGACTGGTGTGTCATATTAGATTACAACACATTCGAGAACCAGTTGTGTTTTGGCGTCAATGACATCAAACCTGGCACTGAGCAAGAATGTGTATTTTTTCATTTTGCACGTACAACAATACTACTTTGCTACTTGCTATTCCTTTGTGAAAAAGAAGTATACTTTAGCAAACTTTTCGAAAAAGAGTTCTGACTATGTACATAATACACTTTAAAATATTATACTTAAGTTTAAGAACTTAAGAATGCAAAAGAAGATATTTTGAAGAATGTTGGTAATCAAGCCATTGACTTCCAAATCCATTGCTTTAAAACAAATTTCACCTGCAATATTGTAGGGAAGAAGGCATATTCAGATGTATGGTGTGCATTTTAAATTATACATGCCACATTTGCTAAATGTCACATATCACAAAAGTAATAGACACAAACTCAAATTTTTATTTCGGGGCCCTTTAATTAATGGAAAACAGTTTGTGTGACATACCCTCAATGTACAACACCAACACACCTGCACATGAACAGATGAATGAATATGTATAAATGACTTGCCAGCATTTACAAATATTCAATTTTCCTATTAAGCCTACATAATGTTAATAATTTGAATTAAGTAAGGCTTGCAAATTATTACAAATGTCTAGCAGGTCTGGAATAAACCTGCACCACTTCTCAGTCCTTTTTGCCTCCAACAGCATTCCCACAACGCACAATTTCATTTCGAATATAGTCATTCATCTGTTCTTATGGGGTTTGGGACTATAAGTGTAGCAATCCTTCAATAGGCAAATTGCGATGGTGGCAATTATAGCCGGATACAATTACGAATGCTCAAGTCAATTAGCTGTGTGAATCTATTTGGCCAGGAACTGCAAGTCTTTTATGCCATATTCATTAGCATAGCAAGAGTTCACAGTAGGGTGTCCATTGTGCATGCTGAGAGCAAACCTACCTCCCAGGATATGACCAGCTCATGCCTGCGGCCGTTCCCCCCTCTCACGTTGGCAGGGGCTACTGACGGAACTGCAGAAACAGAAATACTGCAATGTAATAATGCATTATATTATTAGCTTTTAGTAGCTAAAACCTCTAGCAAGTAATGCACCACTCGCATTTTTGCATAATGACTACTAATGATTAATTAATGCTTGGCTGTTAAGACAGAGGAGGAAAATTCCCTCTACAGGTGTAATTCTCAAAACCACAACCATGTATTGCTAAGTCGAGAAACAGTATAGCACTCACTAAACACATCTGACAGCTTGAGTCACACAAAAATAGCATAGCAAATAAAGAGGAAAAAAGCTAAATGGGAATAGTTCAACCAAAACTGTAAAATACTATAATTATTCTATAATTATTTATCACTTATTTACTCAATTACTCATATAAACAAATCCATAATTACAAAGGCGTTATTTCGTGGGATAATAAATTAACAACCAAGGCTCATGGGAAAAACATGCTTCTACCTAAATTTTTTTTTAAATCCAGCAATGTACCTACATACACATACAGTTTACTGCAGTTCCTAGTTGAAACTGAATATTAATGACAATAAACACTAACAAATTTGTATACATTTTTATACAAATTATGATTCTTTTTATGTCATTCCATTTGCACAATACTTTACATTCACAATATATTTAGGCATTTGACAGACACTTTTATTTAAATCAACCTGTGTTCCATTCAAGGTACACTTTTTATCAATTCTTGCTATATTGGTGTTGCTAGCAACATGTTCTTCTGTTTGAGCCACTGGAAGGCTATACTATGACCTCAAAACTATTTTCTGTGTTTGACTTGTAAACTAATACATACTGATATTTATATCACATAATCAGCTCCTTATGTATGGCTTTTCCGATATAGCTCTATAGCTCACCTGGTATAGCATTGCACTTGTGATGTGGAACGCTCGAGTACGATTCCCGTGAAACACAAGGCATGATAAAAGAGACCAAAGGCTTGTTAACACTGTCAATTAGATTTAAGGTAAAAGTTTAGTGTTGGATGTGTATTTTTTTTAACAAGATGGAGCATTTACTTTTTAGTGATCACTTTTTAGTAATCACTGGACATTTCATTTCCGAACTGCCACAATACTCTACAACAACCAATGTAATAAAATGTTTCCACATTCACTTGTTTTGGTTAAAACTGAACACACTTTTAGGCCACTCACTTGACATTTAACTTTGAAAGTGCCATGAAACGTGCAAGAAGCAACATAATATTTTGCACTAATTTTACCACATTCATGTTTTTCCAATGAAGCTGGGTTGAAACGAGATATTATTGCCATTTTTCATACAACAACACTTCAAAGTTTGGGTCAGACCCAAATTTAGGTAACTATTATAGGGTAGGGTATAGGGAAAATCTTCCCTTCCATTGTAGCTCTCCAATCTTACTCATCCTGCACATTTGAACAAATGTGCCATGTTAATACATGACACAAACAAGAACAAGTGGTGTTTTGACATCAGTAATGTCAAACCTGGTGAGACACGTTGAGATGCAAACATTAGGATCTTTTTAAAATCTGAACGGATGATTAGTCAAACATATTTTCTGTTCTCATCTTGTATGATTTCATATCGATTTAATGCATGGGTCACTTTTATTGTGCTTTTAGTTCTTTTGTCAATTCCAAAGCTCAATGGCTGTGGAACCATTATTGTATGGAAACATACTCTGAAGATTCTTCAAAAATTCTTGTTTTGGGCTCCACGGCTAAAAATAACAGCACACTGGTTTTGGCACGAGGGAGAGTAAATAATGAAAGAACTATTCCTTTAAGAAACAAACAAACGAACGGTGGCATATAATGACAAACTACAGTAATTCAATCGACTTTAAATAATGATAAAAAAGTAGCTGTCATTATGTTCGTATTTTGGGACATTTTGTTGCTGCGTAATCAGACAGGCCTGCTGAATGTTTTTGAACCAAAGTGTGATGAAGCGAGGGTTTTGTTCTCCGTAAATAGAGAATTCTGCAGCCTCTTTGCCTGAGGGCACAAGTGCCTTTCTGCTTCAACTCAAACACAAAAACTTGTTTAAATTCATGTAAGCGGCTTATTTTCCACTTCTCCTCCAATTAAAATAGGACCAGGGTCACCCTGGATGTTCAGATGGGTGACGGCAGTCGTAAAAATGTGTCACAACACGCAGCTACACGATCCCCCCGAGTGGAGGATAAACGAGGCTTGAGAGAAGAGTGTTTGTTTATTTAGATTTCTGTTCTTTTGGAGGGCGTTTAGCTCAGTGATATTCACGGGTGAATGAACCAATGACAGATACCTGCTTCCTTAGTGCGGACCGCTCTGGAGGAGGCGCTCGGGTCACCTGTTCCTATGCCGTTCGTGGCCACCACCCGAAACTCATACTCCACCCAGGGGTTGAGCTCCACTGCCATGGCGGACTCCATGTTTCCTGTCACCGGTTCTGGATCTAAGGGGGATGTGGAGCACAGCGGAGAGGTACCAAAACAAGTGAGGAATCAATACAGCTTAAAACACAAGTAAAGATTTAAGATTTGACATCTACTGAGATTAAATCCTTGTAGACTGGAGGCTTTTCAAAGTAATGTAGAGTGTTATAGTATGCTTGAGCTAAACACACACACACACACACACACACACACACACAAACAATACAATATGTGAAATACAAATACATATCTATGTATATATATATATATATATATATATATATAGAGAGAGAGAGAGAGAGAGAGAGAGAGAGAGAGAGAGAGAGAGAGAAAATGACACATTGACACAT